GATATTAAACTTACTAACTATAAGATGACTGTATTTTTTACATATGAATTGTTTACTTTCAATATGAGATAAATCATTTTGACAAATTGATATAATACATCACCGTTTATGCGTCCGCATAATATAATTAATATCAAAAAATTCTCTTTTATGACGTTTTAGAAACAAACAATTGCAATAAGTTCTGAATTATAAATTTCAAAAGAATTATAAACAAATTTATTTATTTATTTTTTATTTAATTTATAAATAAATTTACTTCATTATTTTTTTAAAATTTAATTAATAATAATTGCATTAATAATTTACATACATACATGTGTACAGGGTGTCCCGCAACGTGATGTCCACAGTGAAACTTTGTATTTTTGGGATCATTCTAAGTCAAAAAGTCTTAATACACATATCAAGTTTTGTAAATAATAATTAAAAATTAATTTTTAATTATTATTTACACATTTATTTATTATTTATTTTTTTACACTGACAACGCATGTAATTATTTTTTGTAATGCCAGTCACGAAAGTTCGAATTTCGATTGCTGTTTAGCGTGCGGATGGTGGCTTATTTCTCAACGGTTCAATGTATGCCTTACCGCATAAGTGCGAGAAAAACACCTTTATGATTTACATTATTGCACAGTTTATAAAGTAGTTAATTATTATATAATATTATCGTTCAATAAATAAAATTATTTCAATAAATAATACTTATCTTATTATATGCAATTTCGTCTTTTTTGTTCTAAAACACTTTAAAACAATCGACTTTAGGGCATATGTGTATTAAGATTTTTTGACTTATTGTTAGAATGATCCCAAGAATACAAAATTTTACTGTGGACATCACGTTGCGAGACACCCCGTATATATATACAGGATGTTCAGTGTAAGGGTTTGCACAATTTTTGAGACACTTCCCGACAATTTAGAAAAAAATTTTTTTAGAATGAAAATTTATCTGTTCCATGCAAGCTGTCACATGCAATAAAAAAATGTTGAAAAAAGTGTTGTTTTCATAACAAAATCAAGATCACCTTGAATTTTTTAAATGGAACACCCTGCTTTTTATTATTTATTCTTGTAGCTTACTTCGAGAGCTTCTCAAAATACTAGAATAAAGTATTTCTTTCTTAAGTACTTTCCGAATTATGAGACTTAAAATAAATCCCCAATTTTATATAAACTATCCGGGAAAAAAGTCCATGTATAATTATATATAAATGTATATAAATATATATAATTTATATATAAATATATATAAATATATATAATTTATATATAAACAGAGTTGAGAAATAACGCGTTACTTATAACGTCGTTACCGTTACCGTTACTTTTTTTCGGTAACGATCGTTACTTTTTTCTATCTGTAACGGTAACGATAACGTCGTTACATTTTTACAGTAACGCTAACAAAGTAGCCGTTACTTTTATCATTACTTTCTAGTTCTCTCTGAGTTAACATTAAATTAATATAATAAATAATAAAGATAACATGCAATAAATGCAAATAAATATTTTATATTAAAAAACGCTTTCTATATATAATTATACATTTTAATAATAATAGGCTCTAGCATTACAAAAACCCAAAATGTAACGAAAAAGTAACGAATCGTTACTTTTTGAGTAATGGTAACGATAACGCGTTACTTTTTAAAATCAGTAACGAGTAATGGTAACGCGTTACTTTTTACAAAAAATAATGGTAACGGTAACGCATTACTTTTATAGAGTAACGGTCGCAACTCTGTATAAATATATATAATTGTATAAAATTATATGTAAATATACCCAGATAGCCACAGTAATTATTATGACATCAAAATGATGTCATAATAATTACTGTGGCTATCTGGGTATATAATCTCATACACGGTTATATATAATATGACAATATATAACATCATATATGATTATAACTATGTATATAATTATATACAAATATATTTGATTATAAATATAATATGTTATATTCAATTATATAAAATTATATGTAAATATATGTATGGATCATACATTTTTTTCATACATTAAAAGAGGAAAATGTCGAACTTGCAATCTTAAACCACGTTCACGTAAACGTCTTCTAATTGTTTGATCACTGATTCTGTCAGGGAGATCTTTATTAGCAATTTGTCGCGCAATTATCGTTGGTGCGCGTTGGGTATCGCTAATACTGGTAATAATTGCACAAAAATGCATAGATAACTTTGATATACTGTAACTCTGTCAAAAAAATCATACGAACTTTACTTTTTTTTAATTTGTAGAAAAAGTCCATATTTTACGAAAATTTGGATAAGATTTGCGAAAAAAATTTATTTCATCCCGTAAGGTTCGTCAAATTTTGCAATTTTTTGAAAAAAAAACACTTTACTTTTTAAAGGAATGGAGAAAGGAGGGGAGAGGATGAAATCAAAATCGAACGAAAGTTTCTTAAAGTAGAGACTTCACCCTTTAAAACAAAAAAAAAATTTCAAATATGATAATTTCGCGGAGATACGCTTATTTGAATTTATGAAATTTTGATATTAACTGCATGTTGCGATAATTTTTTTGACCAGTGTATTTATATATATAGTCATATATATTTATACATATATGATTATATATGGACTTTTTTCCCGGATATAAAATATCTCGTAAAATATTCATTTTTTAATAACCTTACCTTAAAACCCCCAGACTTAAAATAAATCTCCAATTTTATATAAAAGCAAATGTTCAAGATATATGTATCTTAAATAGCAGTACTTACAAGATTTAGATTGTAAAGTATTTAGATTGTTAACATAAACATTGAAAGTTGTTTGGAATTCGCATCGTAAACATAAACATTACAAGATATTTTATAGTTTATATAAAATTGGGGATTTATTTTAAGTCTCATAACTCGAAAAGTACTTAAGAAAGAAATACTTTATTTTAGTATTTTGGGAACCTCTCGAGGTAAGCTACAAGAATAAATAATAAAAAGCAGGGTGTTCCATTTGAAAAATTCAAGGTGACCTTGATTTTGTTATGAAAACAAAACTTTTTTTCAAAATTTTTTTATTGCATGTAGTAGCTTGCATAAAACAGATAAATTTTCATTCTAAAAAATTTTTTTCTAAACTGTCGGGAAGTGTCTCAAAATTCGTGCGGGCCGTTATGCTAAACATCCTGTATATACAGGGTGTCCGGTAACTAACGGACCAATGATTAAGGGCGGATTCTCTGGCCAATTTGAAGACGATTTTTCCTTAGCAAAAATGTTGAGAAGTCAATAATTTTCGAGTTATAAGCGATTGAAAAAAATAGGTTTTTTGAAAACTGAACGTTTTCGAGTTAAAAGTCTAAACATAATTACATTCTTCAGTTAATTTCAGGTAGAGTTTACTATGATAAAATTTTAATTTGAGGCTTAGTTATAAAAATACATAATGATAAATATTGGAAAGTTGTAAAAAATAATGACCTTTTTCGACATTTTCGCTGAGGAAAAATCGTTCCCAAATTGACCAAAGCATCCATTTGTAATCGTTGGTCCGTTAGTTACCGGACACTCTGTATATTGTATATACAATATATGTATATAAAAATAATCAATGAAACAAATCTTTATTAATTTGTAAAAGGTCACAAAGACATTGTAATATCTTTGATTGTAAAAAGAAAATGTTCTTTTAATTCATGCACAATTCAACACCTATACAATTTTTAAGATTGTGGATTAATACATATTTATAAGAGTTTACATATCTATAAGTTTAAAATTACAAGATTTAAAATAGCGGATCCAATATCGACGGTCATTAATTTCTGTATATATATATATATATATATATCATAGACATGTAAAAAGGATATATAGATCGAACAATTATGACGTAATATGAAAAATACGTAAAAAGAGAAAGAAAACATAAATTTAAAAAAATATAAATTTTCTTTAATAAAAAAAATAGGAATAGCCAGAATTGTTGAGCTTCTAATCCTGCGAGTTCTATAAATATCACTGCGCCGCGCGAATAAGAGTGAAATTAAACATTATTAAATATATTTTCTTTCCTTTTCCCCTCCCCTTTTCCCGTTGCATAATACACAATAATCTTCGCTAAACTTGGTACTTATAAGTTGTTTTTTTTTTTTAAGTCGCGGTTTATACATTGTAGATTAAAATTACAAATTTAAAAATCGCAGATCTAAAATATTTTAATCCGCCATATTGAATATACTATTTTAAATTTGTAATTTTTACCTATTATTTATAAAATCAGTAAAAATCTATAGATACTTGAAAATTTATAAACAAGTTTGATGCAGATATACAGCAGAATCCCCTCAAATTTGGTCCCATTAATTTTAGTATCTCTCCACAATTGAAAAACTTGATCTTAAAGTAAAGAAATATTTTTAATGTTTCTTTTCCAAAAATTTCCCTTGCCCTAAGGTCAAAATTAACGAGACTCTACTGTAAATTGCAAAAATTATTTACTTGGGATGGTCACCATGATCATAAAGGATTCATTATTTTAAATTTGCTAATTTTGATCTTAAATTTGCATAATTAATTATCCTAAACATATACTAATATACACAATTCGACAAAAAAGATTCTATTTCGTATAGCATCATGAGACATAAAATATCCTGAAACTATTATATTTTATGATAATTTTTTTATATATTAAACATATTGTTTTTTTAGAACAAAATGTGTTGTGTTTATAAAAAAAAATTTGCGCAATTCTCTAATGGTTAAATTAAGAATTCTAAGTTCTAAAGCAATAGCAGAAAAATTAATAGATTATAATGTCTCGATAATGCAAAACAATAAAAAAAATTATATGTGTGTACACACATACACACACACACACATACATACACACACACAAACACACAACGATACTCCAAAAAACGATACAATTATACAATTGCCACTAAAGTAAAATCTAATATGTAATTATTTAATAGATGTAAAAATATTAGAAAGAAAAAAACAATTGCACATGTTTCATTTACCACGACTTTCTGTATTGGTTACATTCCTTTGGGAATAGATGGAACCTTGAGCTAATCCCCTTATTGGTCCTTTTCGTAATTCGGACTGCGGACCTTTAGCGAGGCAATTATTTGTAGAAAGTAAACCTGCATCACGCCCTATCGCAAGTGACCTTGAAAATGGTTGTTTGCACAGCAAACTTGCATCTGGCCCCGACCATGGCGCATAATCTGGCCTAAAATTTTTTTTTTAATAATTATTAAACTATTACACAATGTAAGTATAATTATATTCCCAAGTAGCAAACATTATAAACGTCAAAATGATATGTTTTGCTATCTGGATTATATCTTATAATATTTTCAACCTACAACAATAAATCATTATTTGCTCCTTTTATTAAATCCGAGTTTGATCCGACTGGTTTTATTAGATATGGGGATTTATATTCTTTGTCCTCTGTAGTACTAGTTCCACGTGAAACTCTATAATGATAAATAAAAAACATTATTAATAAATATTATATAATTTTCTACACTATATATTATATAAAATATTGAATAACTAGTAGTATAACTAAAAAGAAATTGATTCTGCATGAAAAAATAGTATTCTATATTTTCAATTTATTTTTTTACATAAAATCTCACTATTCTTTTCAATTGCATCACCAGTTACAAAAGTCCATATATGTAAGAATAAAACTACCAAACTAAATAGAATTAATCAATAAGAAAATGTGATCTCTTTTATAAAATAATATTTGAAAAAAATAATTAAACAATTGTCTCTTACTTCGGTATCTCTGTCTTATTTTTCGACCGTTTCGACTTTTTAGTCTCCGCATCCTTGTTTATTTTTTTAATTGGAGAAACACTGAATTTTATAGCTTCCGTCACTGGCGGACTATCTTTTCGTTCGGTACTTTTACTGCTGCAATATTTCATATAATCAAAATAAAAAAAACCAGAAATAAGTACCAAGCTTTTATTTATTTTGTTGAAAAATAAAATATTACCTTTGACTACTAGAAGTACATAGCGGACGAGTAGCTTCCTCTGCTACTACTATATCTAATATATGTATTGCTCTTTCTTCATCATAATCTACACTATCCATGGCAAGCATTACTACTCGATCTGGTACCATTTTATATTTTTCCGTCAAACGCTTCTTCACTATAATTTTTCATATAACATATATTTATTAATAAATAGAAAAAATTATAAAAATTGGAAATTTGCACTTGCTTTTTCACCATTTCAGGTTGACAGTTCGTGCAGACAAACTGTCAACCTCATCATAATATGTGCTTTATATAAAACATATGCACTTTGTACGAATAAAAATGCACATTCCCTGGGATTAGAGGACACGAGAGAAAGCACTGTTATTCTCTAAACTTAGATTAGACGTTTAATAAAAATTTGTAATTAGAAAGACGATTCATACGTACGTATGCGTGCGTTATGTATACATGCATATGTTTTCGATATATGTGCTGCTATTCTGTCGGTGTTCGTCATTTGCTGAGGGATCCCCTTAAGATGGTTTTTTAATTATGGCTTTCTCATAGAGGAAGCTATAATTAAAAAACCATCTTAATAAGCGAAATGAAATGGTGAGGAAGCAAGTACAAATTTTTCCAATTTGCACAATTTTTTTCGTTAAAATTTTTTTTTAAGATTTCTATGCTAATATGTTCATAATATTTCAAAATTCGAAAATTTACAATTAAAAGAAATTCACATTCTTCAATTCAAAATAAATCATTCTTTAATGTTATTTTATTCAGAATGTTCCAAATTAAAAATTTACATATAAAATAAATTCTAAATTGTTTAAAAATAAACCATTTTACAAATTCTCCACAAATTCAATTTTATTTTTTAATAATAATTTTATACAAATTCGATATTTCAAAATTTACGAATGTTTAAGCATGTATATTTTTTGAAATTAAAAATTTAATAAAAAAGTCCTTTTTATTAATCCTCGTCAAATTAAATACCAAACATCATTAATGCAACGATACTCTATTAATATAAAAATATAATTAGTCTAATATATATATATATATATACATACAGGTTGTCTACAGTGAAACTTTGTATTCTTGGGATCATTGTAAGTCAAAAAGCCTTAATACATATATGTCCTAAAGTGGACAAGTTATACCAAAAAGACAAAATTGCATATAAAAAAATTAGTATTATTTATTGAAGATAATTTTATTTATTGAACAATAATATTATATAATAATTATATAATAATTAACTACTTTATAAACTGTGCGGTAATGTAAATTATAATAGTATATTAGCTAACAAGTGTGGGGGATCGTAAATCGACCGAGAGTGTGAAAGTTTGGCGCACGAGGCGAAGCCGAATGTGACAATCCGCACGATCGGCCGATTTATGACCCGCACATGTTGGCTACGATATTTTGTGTGACCGGTGCGTAAAAAGGGAGCCCTTTCTAAAATCCCATCAAGTGTGTAAAGGGCGACTTTTCGCGCGCCGGTCACACAAAATATCGTAGCCAACATGTGCGGGTCATAAATCGGCCGATCGTGCGGATTGTCACACTCGGCTTCGCGCCAAACTTCCACACTCTCGACCGATTTCCGATCCCCCGCACTTGTTAGCTAATAAACTATTTTGTAATGCCAGTCACGAAAGTTCGAATTTCGATTGTTATTTAACGTGCGAAAGGTGGCTTATTTTTTAACGATTCAATGTATGCCTTTACAGCACAAGTGCGAGAAAAACATATTATTTATGATTTACATTATTGCACAGTTTATAAAGTAGTTAATTATTACATAATATATTATCGTTCAATAAATAAAATTATTTCAATAAATAATACTTATCTTATTATATGCAATTTCATCTTTTGTTATAACTTTAAAACAATCGACTTTAAGGCATATGTGTATTAAGACTTTTTGACTTACAATGATCCCAAAAATACAAAGTTTCACTGTGGACATCACGTTGCTCTGTATGAATATACAAGGTGTCCAGAAAATCGCCCGTAATACTTCGGGAGGTGTTTCGGGACCCAAAAAGAAGAAAAAAATTATATAAACATAGATTCGGAAATAAGTCGTTTCCGAGTTATAGCCACTTTTATTTAATCTTTTAAATTTTATTTTTTAATTTTTTTCAATTTTGAATCAAATTAAATAATTTTCCCAATAATATTGCTAACTTTAAACAAAGAATAATTCATGAATTCAAAAAAAATAAGGAAAGATCCAAATGTTTTTGAAAAAGTTCGGAATTCCTTTGATAAAAGAATAAGAGCCTGCATTCGTGCTGAAGGTGGCCATTTTTAACATCTTATTTAATTTGATTTAAATATTTATTTATGTTTATCCTTGATTTGTGTGTGTGCGTGTGTATGTATACATATATATATATATATACAGGGTATGTGTATATATATATATATATATATATATATATATATATATGTATACGTACATATATATACAGTCTATCCGGTAATAGTCACGTCAACCGTCGTGAACAGGTAGAGCATGTTAAATTGAATAGAAAAGTCTTATACAATTTTGCTAAATTCGCAATAATTATTGAGTTGGCCTACCACTTTCTACCCACTCATTCGCTCAGATAAATTATTGTGAATTTAGCAAAATGGTATAAGACTTTTCTATTCAGTTTAACGTGCTTTACCTGCACACGACAGTTGTGACTATTACCGGACACCCTGTATACAAAGTGTAATTAAACGAACGAATACAAAGCACACCATTAGGTGCAGGACAAGAAACTAGTACGCCTACTAAGGCGGCGCCTATGCTGTTTTCAGTATATAGCTACGTGCTATTTGGCAAACTTTAACAATTTATAGCGTCAAAAATGAAACTCAGATTAAAAAATGGCTCAGGACTTTTCGATTTAGTTTGTTGTCCTGATGGTGTGCTCCGTATACGTTCGTTTAGTTACACCCTGTATATATCTCATAATTCACGGTAGTTAAAAGAATATTTCTAAAAAAAATTTTCATAAAAATTTTATAAAATAACCAATTATCGCCAAACTCAATACCAACCATCCTTTCATAATAGTCTACTATAATAAACCATCCTTTAATAAGTCTACTATATATAAAAAAATTAAGCTCGACATCTCAAAATTTCCGAAATTTAAAAAATGCATATTTCTTAAAAATTCAAAATTTCATAAAAAATAAATCCTTTTAACAATCATCTTCAGACTCAATACCAAACATCCTTTAATAATAATCTATTAATCATAAAAAATTTATGATAATTTCTTAAAATTTACGGAAGTTAATGCAACCATAATTTTCAAAAAATTAAAAATTAAAAAAAAATAAACCCTTTCACCGATTCTCCTCAAATTCAATACCAACCATTCTTTAACAATAGTCTATTTATATAAAAAAATTCAGTCCGATATCTTAAAATTTACGGAAGTTAGAGCAACCACAAACATTTTTTGAAAAATTTAAATTGCATTAAAACACTACGAATTTTTATAAAAATAACAGCGTTGTATTGCTTTACTTGTATATCAAATTGGAGCGTTATAAGTAAAATATTTTTTGAGATATTGAAATTTAAAAAAAATTGGTGGGCACATACACACATACATACAACATTTTTTTAATGTGATTTTTCGACGTTTTGGAACATTTTGAACACATTGGCATAGAAATCTGGAAAAAATTTTTTCATGACAACCAATAAGTTTCCTCTATAAGGAAGCAAAATAAATGTAAAATACATACATATATTCTTTTCTTCCGCACTTTTCATGCGTGGAGGAGGTGTAGGAACAGTTGGCTCATTGTTTGTCTAAAAAAACAAGTTTCTTTTTGTAAATATATCGATTAACAAAACCTTAAAGGCAAAAGAATTATTTTCGAGGTATTTTAAAAATGTGCTAAAAACATCTAAAATAAATAGTGTTTCATCGAAATATCTTCTCATTTAAAAATGACATCTAAGAATTTTCAACTTGCTGTTTTGCTCTGACGTCACAATCTAATATAGCCGATCTTGATTAAAATATTCGCTTTTATTCTTTATCAGAAAAATAACATATGTCATATACATGTATGATATAAAACTCATTACCTCTTCTTCTTCTTTCTTTTTTGGAACAACCTTGGGAGGAAAAATAGGATTCCGTTTTTCATATCCTAAATCGATTAGTTTATCAGATGCCTTCTGCACATTGTTATCACTTTGTTCTAATATATCCAATAATATTGTTTCGTCCACATTTGGAAATATACTTTTCAGATACCTGTACACATATTTCAAACATATAAATGTTTAATATAATTGTTATATATATATATATATATATATATATATATATATATATACACAACTACGTGTACATAATATACAAACATGATGCATTCTATATTATGTATTTAATATATTTTTTATAATGTAATATGCAAATTACTCATCATATTAAAGCAAAATGATCTAATATAATCTTATTGAAATGTGATTTGTTGATTAAATGTGATCACAGATTAGTAAAGTAATAATATATACACACACATACACACACAAAAAATTAATAATTAACTTTACTTGAGAGATGTGTGTGACTGATATCTAAAAATAAATATGTAATTAAAAATTTTCTATCTATCTTAACAAATGATAAACTATTCTAAACATTCATTTTAATTTAAACTTTTTAGAGCACAATGCACATGCATATACTATCATGCTTAAAATTTTATCTTATTTTAAAATAAATAAGTTTTTTCTGTTGCTTGAAATAAACATCCTTTTATTAATTAATTTTTCTTTTTTGTTATAATATTTTAATTAATTTTTTTTAACTTTGAAATATTTTATAAACTTATTTAAAATAAATATCTCAAAGTTTAAAAAATTAATTAAAATATAGTTAAAAAAATTAAATAATAAAAGAATATAAAATAAAGGCTCTATTCGATAAAATCAAATTACAAAAAGAGAGCAAAGAGCCATAGCAAGAAAGTCGTGCTATAAAAATAATTGACTATGTCAAGTGAAATAAAACGTTTCGGTTTATTTTAAACCATCTTCAGTTATAAATTAGAGTTACAAATCATAATCATTTAAATATTGAGTTGCAGTGATATAACATATACAAAACGCATGCACTGTACGATAAGTATCACATTGGAATTGGCCAAGATATTTAGTCTTAGGATCAATAAAACTGTAATACAAAATAATAATTACTTGTAAACGATTCTAGCTGATATTATATGAAGATATGACTTTTTTCAACAATTATTATCATATTAAAACAAGGAAAGTCTATACTTGATTACATTAAGCCTACATTATACAGTGTTATAAAATTTAAAAATTAAAAATATAAATGAAAACCGGTATTATAAAATTAAATTAATACTGATTGAAAAACGGTGTTATAAATTAAAACACATGTTAAAAAATTGGCAAGTAATAATTATATACTCACAGATATAGCTCATAACGAATACGCACATTGACAGATGCATGAGAGATATATATACCACCCGGTAGAGACCGGAAGAGAGCGTGTTATTATTATCAGAGACACACTGAGAAATGTTAGGACGTCAAACTTTTAGATAAAAGAGGGCCTAAAAAGAATATATAAGTAGGGGGGGAGGGAGACTGAGACAGGTTAGTGGGAAGAGAGCGTGTTCAGGATTGGCAAATAATCTTCAGATAGCGACTCATTGTCAGTGTCACTTTGTTTATTCAAATCCCTAGATTGTCTTTTAATATGTACCATTTCAGATATGATTCTTTTTCGAAGTTTTGGTTCCTCATCCAATATTTCCACATTGTTCCAGTCGAAATCATGATTGTATTCTATTTTATGGGTGGAAATGACGGAAGGGGATGAAATCTTGTTAATATCAGAACGATGCTCTTTGATTCTGGTTATCGGTCTTCTTTTTGTCTGTCCTACGTAAGACGCTTCGTAATCCGAACACTTTATCTTATATATTACATTATTACGAGACGAGTTATTTAGTTTGTCTTTACCTGATTTGATAAATTTATTCAAAGAGTTAAAACAAGAGTAAGAAATATTAAAATTAAATTTTTAGTAAGTCTACAGAACTTCTCTGATATATTTTTGACATAGGGTACTGTAAAAGAGTTATTATTTTTTTTGTTAATGCAACTGTCAGTATTATTAGATTTATGACTTAATTTCTTTATCTTGTTGTTAATTATAGCAAAAATGAAAGGTAGCGGATAACCATTTTCAAGAAGGAGATTAATAATCAAAACCAAATTTTTCTCGCGGAAGTATGGTTTGAAATTCTAAGAATTCTATCTATTAGGCCAAAAATCAAACCTCGTTTATGAGAAATGGGGTGGTGAGAGTGGAAATTAAGGCACCTCCCAAAAAACGAGGGCTTATAAAACCAGTCAAAAACCAATAAACTGTTGACCGAAATGGCGGTATCCAAAAAACTAATGTGGTCACCACCAATCTCTATCGTAAACTGTAGTCTATTATGAAACGAGTTAAATGTATCTTTTATGTGATCAAAATAATTTTGCGGAGGAACCAAAATAATGTCATCTACATATCTAAAATATATGGGTAACTGAATGGACAATGCCTTAATAGCCTTCTCTTCAATATTCTGTAATACTATATCAGTGATAATAGGCGAAAGTGGAGAACCCATCGGCATACAAAAAATCTGTTTGTATATGTGATTATTGAATTTGAGATATGCAGAATCTAAAACAAAGCTGACACCGTTGATAAACTCATCTAATGGAATGGATTGCTCCCTTCCCACTAATCTGTCTCAGTTCCCCCACTCCTCCCCTACTTATATATTCTTTCTAGGCCCTCTTTTATCTAAAAGTTTGACGTCCTAACATTTCTCAGTGTGTCTCTGATAATAATAACACGCTCTCTTCCGGTCTCTACCGGGTGGTATATATATCTCTCATGCATCTGTCAATGTGCGTATTCGTTATGAGCTATATCTGTGAGTATATAATTATTATTTGCCAATTTTTTAATATGTGTTTTAATTTATAACACCGTTTTTCAATCAGTATTAATTTAATTTTATAATACCGGTTTTCATTTATATTTTTAATTTTTTAATTTTATAACACTGTATAATGTAGGCTTAATGTAATCAAGTATAGACTTTCCTTGTTTTAATATGATAATAATTGTTGAAAAAAAGTCATCTTCATATAATATCAGCTAGAATCGTTTACAAGTAATTATTATTTTGTATTACAGTTTTATTGATCCTAAGACTAAATATCTTGACCAATTCCAATGTAATACTTATCGTACAGTGCGTGCGTTTTGTATATGTTATATCACTGCGACTCAATATTTAAATAATTATGATTTGTAACTCTAATTTATAACTGAAGATGGTTTAAAATAAACCGAAACGTTTTATTTCACTTGACATAGTCAATTATTTTTATAGCACGACTTTTTTGCTACGGCTCTTAGCCCTCTTTTTGTAATTTAATAAAAGAATGTTTACTTCGACAGTTTTTTCAAGTACAAAAGTTTAACGCTGATCAATCACAAGTTTTGTTTAGATTATACCTATCTATGTAGGCTTAATAGTCACGCATTTTGTTCGTTAATGCTAAATAAAATATTGTATGCATATTTTCTTCGTTATATTTCAACATTATCATGATAATGTATCTATAATAATATACAATATTGATTTGCAATTTACTAAATATGCTATAAATAAATAAAAATGTAACGAATAAAATATAATTTCTAAGTCATTGATGTTAATAATAATTATTATTATTAATTTTTTATTAAATATTATTAAAATTATTATTGATATAATATATTAACATAAATCTCAGCGATAAATTATCGTATCGAATTTCGTCAAAATATGCATTTTAAGAATGAATGTTTCACGCTTTTTATTTAATTTATTCATTATTTATTGATTAGTAATTTTTTATTTTTTGTTGATTTATTAGTATTAATTAAATGCAATCAATATTATATCAATTGCACAATACGAAGAACACACATACAATATTTAACGTCATTAATGCTTCAAGAGTGCACGGTCATTAATTAAGGGGATCCTAAGCCATCCTATTTCACCGACAAAACAACCATTTTGTGCACGCTTTTTTCTTATTGGTCGAGTAGAATAATAAATGCTTTTCCACGATCAAAGTACATGTAGAAATAAAGTAGAGACCTACCGATTTTATGTTAAAAAAATTTTTTTTATTTATGTGTTATGTTTTTTAATGTTGATTTTTACAATTATTACAAATCCGAAAACTTGCATCGCTGAAAAAATATGTAACTCTGCAGAATTTATCTATAGAAAAGGGCTAATAAATATGCATAATTTTAACAACTTTATTCTTTTTTTTTTAAACAAAAGTATGAACTTTATGTGTGAACGATCTTCATATCCCTAATGAAAAAAATCATGTAGACCTGAGAAGTGAGCGTGTATCGCTTTTATTGTTGCCTCTTTTCCGCGTATATGATTGGCGGTCGATGATTTCGTTAGAGAGAGGTGTGAACGTAATTGCTGAAATTTCGGTGACAATTCGATGACATCTTGTGACACATCGTGAATGGGGTTAATGAATAGGACAAATGTTAAGGAAATGAAAGGTAATATATATATATATATATATATATATATATATATATATATATATATAATATACGCAATAATATACGCATAAAATATGATATATATAAAATGCACATATATAATATTCAATAATATATAATATATATAATATTAACAGAGAAAAATAGAGAAAAAGAGACAGAGAGAGAAGAGAAAGAGAAAAAACCTACAATTTATAGACATCAAAGAATTGGAAAAAAAAGGAGATTAAGAAAGAGGAAATGAGAAAGGAAGGTGAAGCTTTATATAATAGCTGTAATTTTTCCAAATTTTAGGACCCATAATGTACGAATCATTATGTTAAATAGTAACACGTTATTTTGCGATATATTTTATTATCAAACTGAGGACCATTTCAAAAACATATTCTCATATTTTGAAGCCCGCGCTTTCATTTTTTAATTTCAGTCATTTAATGTGATAATTAGTTTTTCCAAATTTTAGGACACAATGTACGAATCATCATGTTAGGTATTGTACACATTATATTTTAAATTTTTTTTATCAATCAAAGGACCATTTTAAGGACGTATTCCCATATTTTGAAGCTCTCTTTTATTTTTTAATTTATTTCAGTCATTTCAAGCGATATTTAATTTTAGGA